ACATTTCAAAGTTATTACTTAAATATTTTGGTTATCAGCATACAATTAAGCAATTTAAAAACTTTATAAATATTATTTACAAATTTTTATTTTTATTTCATTTTTCAGAAAGATAATTAATAATTTTGGTAAGCTTTATACAATCATGCAGTTAACATGAGATGTTTCTAATATTACAGCTTAACATAGCTCAGCTATGTAATAACCGTTTATACACAGTCTAGTAATAAATCTATTACACTTCTGAGAAAAACAAAAAGAATTACTACGGCACTTATAACAGTAAATACTCAAATGAGTTTCAAACCAATTTTTATAGAATTTTTGAAAATTTCATGATTTTTTTCAACTTTCAGTTTCTTAAGAAATTCTATAAAGGTAATGTTATAAGTGAAAACTTCACTTAAGGTATCCGACTGCGTTGAAATGACGAATTTTGGTGAAAATATCAAATTTCATTTTATTCTTTTATTAAAATATTTTAAATCTTGGCTATCTAAAACCATCTTTATTAATTCTACGATAAATAGAAATCGTATTATAGCTGTTTTAGTGCAAGACGGTAGCTGTCAAAACAACCGAAATTGTTCGAGGTTGTTACTTCGAAACCGGAAGTTGTTATCATTTGGACAATTTACTTTCTTTTTTTTTTTTTCCAGTGAAATTTTAAAAGGTTTAAAGCAACATAATAAAAGAACCAACAAATCAGTATAAAAGGGCAAACCTTTTTCAGCTGATAAATGCATTTGATTCATTACATGACCAAGAGAAGCTACACAGCATTTTTTAAGAATGCCTCTAAACTTTTTATAAAGTAGTTTCTCTTTTTACAATGGCATACAATGAGTTACATGACAATGGTGTGGTATATTGATCTCTTTTTCAGTGATTACTGTTTTGGAGTTTATTCTATGAGTGATATTGATGATCTGTAAATTCCTTGGGTGTTAAAGGAGAATGCTGCATTGCTAGTTCTCCATGAACTATTTCTAGCTGTTTAGTTTGCTGTTAACTGTTCTACTTATCTGGCTTAGTGATTAAAGATAAATCTATGAATTCAAAGCTCAAAAGTCAAACTATATAAAAATTAATTCTATAATAACAAAACAATGATTCTGCAATAATGTATGCTAATACATGGCATTAAAAATAACTTTTATTACAATAACACTGCCTTCATTCATAAAAATTACTTAAACCATAATATTAAGACTAAAGGTGCAAAATAAATAAGGCATATTAGATATATTTAATTAAATTATTATATACATTATTGCAATAACTTATTATATGCGATAAATTATTATTACATATATAAATTGATTATATTATTCATCGTATTACTATATGTACACAGCATCGAGGTTTGCCGATTTCACCTCATGCAAAGATTTCCAGTTTCAGATTCCAGGGTTCGAATCACTGTTGCTGTAAAATTTCAAGAGCTTTTCTTTATTTTTCCGTAAATCATACACAATCGTGTTGCAATTCCATACAATTCTGCTATAAACCGAGGAGTAGCACCTGCTTCCATCTTTTGCAGGATTTCCACTTTTTACATAACCGTCAATGCAAAGTGTTTACGTTTCTCAACGTTGAAAGCAGTGAAATCATGATTGTGTTTCTTATCTGTAATTGTATTAGAAAGGGCTGAAATTTAAAATATTCTTAATTTATCCACAAAATATCCAGATAATAAAAGAAGGCAGCACCAAATAATCTTGTGAAATAACAAAGCTCAGAAAATACAACGTGAATCGTGAACATGAAAGGAAAGTTGAGTGAATTGTCTGCTTTTTTACCTCTATGCAGATTAGAGGGGGAAAAACTTTTATTATGATGTCAATAATTTGGTATTTCCCTTATTACTCATTATTATTAAGTAATTATGACATCATTATTCGGTAAGTTTTTTTTCTTTGATATTTCGTACTCAATGTTGCGGTTTCCGGAATCTATAAACTGAATGTTTATATTTTGAGAGGCAACGTGGATTTCAGGTGGGCGGATTTTCGGTATTCGACTGTATTACAAATTACATCAGTTTAATGCATTTTAAAGTACATGAATTAAATAAATTATTAAAAATAGAGGTAAGAAATGTTAAGTAAATTCATTTCTTCATTCAAATGTAAAAGTGTTTGGTTTGTTAAGAAACTAGGCTTATAATTTGAAACATAAATTTAAAATCCAACATCTCTGGGAACTGGCTGTTTGTCAAGCCATATTGAAGGAATGTGGCTAGTAATGACACCAGATAGTTACATACAATTCTAATGTCACACTATAATATTCACCTCATGCCTTCTTATATCTTTACCTAGCTTGTACAAAGGATAATTGAAACAATTAGTTCAGAGGTGCTAACAATTCTCTGTGGTGACTCTTTCCATCACTTATAAATTATTTATCCATATGTATAGAAATATTTATTCATATAGCATGCAACATGTAATAATATTTGAATTAAAAATTAGATTACCATATACAGTCAAAAGTCATTAATTCGGACACCCATAATCTGGACCTCAAAGCTACAAACTTTCTGCGCATGCGTCGCGTTGACGCATGAGCATAGGCGTTTACGCGTGTGCGTAGGACCTTTACGGCTGTGAATATGCGTGTGCGCAAGTGCACAATAAGTTTAAGAATGTGCGTTTAATGTATAACGGACGGTATAAGCTAAGCTAAAATTATCTAATTCAGTTAATGTTGCAGATTGCGTTGTTCCTTAATCTTCGAATTGGATCCGGCTTATTATTTGTTACAGCAATTTTATAAAAGTAAGCTTGAACTTTCGATTATGTCAAATAGAATTTCCGATATATATTTACTAATATGTAAAGGATCTACAAAGCGAAAGTATGTTTTGAAATCTGAAATCTGTTTATCAATTTCACGCTCCTCTGCGGGAAAGAAACGCTGCGGCGCACAATGAATTGGAAGTTGATCTGTCAGTACTATCCTTATCTTCAGGGCAGATGTTTTTATTTAATTTGGCTTATAATTCCTTACTAAATGTAGTATTTCATCTCGATGTACTCTGTCTTTGATATGATTTAAATTAAGTTCCTCGTCATTATAATTCGCTTCCGATAGTGAAGAAAGTGACAGAGAAGTTATTGAAAACGAAAACATTTCGATAGCCAAATTAATCGGTATTCTCAACACAGCAATTGTGGAACTTGAACAGCGGAACTTTGTAACTAAGCAAGAAATTATGTCTGTTTAATAGAATTAAAGAGAAAGTATTGTCACATGAAATGAAGCAACTTGAACAACTTACATTGAAAGAAATGTTTAATAAAGTAAACAAATAAATATTAAGCTTTTTCTTTTTGTAAATTTTGTACCCTTTAGATCATAATTGTTCTTTATTTTATAAATTACGATTTCATATTTTTAATTTTGTAATTTCTGCTTGCCATCTTACCAGATTTAAACTGATGATCTATAATCCGGAAAAATCGATAATTCGGAACCGCCGAAGTCCCGACGAGTCCGGATTAACGACTTTTGACTGTATTCAATTTGTGTTTTCCCCAGTGACTATTACATTACCACCTTTTCTTAAGTCCTACAAAGAATAATTAAAATCCGATATGATATGTTTATTTAATTATACATTTGTACAACTTCCTAACTAACGTAAAAATGTTGCAACACTGTAATTACCTTTATTGCTATATCAATTTATTACAACCTTAAAACATATAATAAATTGATAAACCTAAAAAAAAAGTCAAATTAAGAAGTTTATAGCAAAAAATATGATTTTTTTAATTACTTGATGAACATTCATAATAGTGATACTTCATAATTTTTAATTAAATTTACTTTCTAGACAAACTAATGGAAATAAAAATTTCAATTCGTTAGATTTTTTAAAAAAATCAGGTTACATTTTACTGAAGTCGTTCAGTTTTTAAAAAATCAGAGATTTAATTTATTTGTATTTATCTTTTATTACCCAACCTAAACTAAGACTTTCAAAGAACAAATAATGAATAGCAGTAAATTGAGAATTTTGTGCATTTCAGGACAGAGACAAGTAACACAATAAGTCATTAGATGAAAAAATATATCTCTTGCAACAGCCAGCCATTTGAAAAAAAAAATATTATTACATTCAGTAAGCATTGTTCAACCATTACCATCCTAATCAGATATGTTTACAATAATTCATTGTGTTGTGTTACCCAGTGTATGGGGACTTTTACACTCTCCTCCATAGCTGACATTGCCTTGCAGGTACAGCAATCTTAATTACGGTGATATTTAATGTTCTTATAGAATGCTTTCGGCTTCTAGCTTTAATTTCTTAAATTAACTGACTTGCTTTCTTAAATTAACTAGCTTAAATTTTTAGGGAATTAACAAATATATAAACATACCAATCATTCATTTAAATAGATGTTTAAATTATGTCTAGTTTATAAAACAGCTACACAAAACGCAGTAAAATTACACCTGCAGTGCTTTATTATATAAGAATATTGAAACGGCTGCTAAAGAAATTCTTTTTTTATAAAAGCTATTGCTAATAAAACCTACACGTAAACTACTCAAGATGAGCTGAATAATAAATTATCCCTAAAATTTTTCACAATATTAGATAATACATACTCAGTTTGAACTAGTATAATACTTATTACAGTAGTTCAGAATGAAATAAGAGATAAAAGCCAGATTTTAAATATTTATATATTTTAAACAAAAAGAATTCAATATTACAGTGAACAGCTATTAGATCAGTTGAAAAATAATAATAATAACATGTTTCAAGAGGAAAATTATTTCTGCAACAAGAAATCTAATACTGCAAATGATAAGTCAGATGCATAATTATATATAAACACATGCTATTTAAAACTTCTCCTGAAAAAAAAATATTGATAAAAATTATAATTTTTATTTATTTTTAACACCAATATAAAATCATGTTATTTTAAGCTAATCCATGTTAAAATATTCTTAAGCATGCTAAATAAAAAATTCACCTGGCAAAAGTTGCATTTTAGAACTGCATTGAGTTCTAACTAAAAATAAGAAAAATATAAAAAATAGCATTAGAAAACAAAAGCTAGAACAAAATACATGAAGCTTCACAAACAAATCATACAAAAAGGCTCATTTTTTCAAACAAACAAAACAGTAAAAGTAATACTTATAAATAATAAAAGTAGTATATTTTTAAAAAGAAACATACAAGAAACATTGCACAAAATTCAATGCCAAAAAAATTTCAAAACATTCTGAATCAAATTTGGCCTCTTTAATAACAATATTTAATAACTGCATATACATGAAAAGCCACATGAAAAACATAACTTATGGCTAAAGCATACCATCACTTGGAGTCAAATCTGGGAAACGTACACCCCCACTGGAAAAAAGCAAAAGCTTTAGTTTCAACAAAAAGACTAGTATTCACAGCCAAGCATTAAAAGGATGAAAAGCTAGTATAAGATAGCAGAATATATGAGTTGCAGAGCAGGGTAAAGCACAATGATAAAAGTCAAAACATAAACATGGTATTTTAAACAGAACACAAAAATCCTGTTAACCCCTTAACTGCCGCGGGCGTATATATACGCCTTGCTCAGCCGATGCATTAACTGCCCCAGATGCGCAGCCGATGCGTTAACTTTGCGAATAATTTTAGGTGTAGCAGCGCAAAGCAAATGATAGCAATTTGGAAGGACGTATATATACGCCTGGGGCAGTTAACGCATCGGCTGAGCAAGGCGTATATATACGCCCGCGGCAGTTAAGGGGTTAAAACATTTAATTACTTCATTTCATGCAGTAATTTAAAATTATACAAAATGATTATTGCAAGATTATGCTGTGAAGTACTTTTATAAAATGGTGGTGTTGGTGTATTTAATTACAGCAAAGCACACTAGGGCTATCTGCCTAAGGAGAGGGATGCCTTCGTGGAGGACTTTCTAAGGGAAACTGGCTTGTATACACGTTACACATGGGGAAAACCACGAAAACGCCCATGTAGCCAGCCCGTTCGCGGGATTCGAACCTCGGACCGAACTACCAGTGTTCATCGACTTTACCGCTCGGCCGCTGGTGGGACTTTTATAAAATGAATTTCCTTGGTAGGAATACATTTTCAAGAGATTTGCATTTTAGATTTTCAAATGATCTTTTTGAGAAACAACAATAAGTTTAAATCTAAAAAGAAAATACATAGTCCTTACTAAAATGCCTGAATTAATAGAAATTTTATTTTCTCTAGATTAAAATAAAGTTAAGAAACCATTTGAAAATTGAGCAAAAAATATGGATACTTTATTATTTAAATAATCTTTTAACTATTTATAGCATTGACAGTCTTATCAAATTCAATTTAAACCAGCTGTAATCCCATCCAAAATCTCTACAAGAGTTTATCTGTGTAATTCTTCTTAAATAAACTTCCTATTACAACCAAAGGACACAATGTAACAATGAATAGTAATAATAATAGAAATCTGAAAAATCTCAAATAAATGTAATATCTTTAACAGTTTACCATTAAGGTTTAAAAAAGTTCAAAACTATAAAGATTATTTATAAAATGGTGGTGTTGGTGTATTTAATTACGGCAAAGCACACTAGGGCTATCTGCCTAAGGGGAGAGATGCCTTTGTGGAGGACTTTCTAAGGGAAACTGGCTCGTATACACGTTACAGATGGGGAAGACCACGAAAACGCCCATGTAGCCAGTCCGTAAATAAATTTTAAAAAAACTATCTAATTTCCATATGCTAATTCCAGACCAATACCTAAAATTTACGTTCAACAGTTATGATTACCCTACTTATTTAAAAACTAATTCCCCAGAAATTCAAGATATAGAACATAAAATCATACATTTAAAATAATCTGTTAAAAACTGCAATACCAAACAGCAAAGAGGGAAATGATACAATATTTTCTCATAAATTACATTCCTATGAAAACTTAATGCTTAAACAATAAAGAAAATAATTAATTACTCAAGTTAAAAAAATTTATTTCACTAGATCATTTGTGCATAGTACTTGCAATAAGTACTTCCTCATAGAAAGCCCAGTACACCTACTGAAAACAATAAACACCTTGAAAGAGATTTCCAGTAAGGAGTTTAAAAAAATATTTTCATACATCCTTTTTTTCTTAAATGCACAGTAGCACACTGGCTGACTGATAGCTGCATGCAGAAAATTATTCCACATTAGTTTTGCGCACAAATTAGCAGGTTGACGAAGAAACACAACAATATAACATGTAAGGATTTTTTTTTTTTTTTTTTGTTTGTTTCTTTGATTGTATGATTTTATAATGTTTCACAAAAATGCATCTTACCAATTAGGAAATACAGTAACTTTTACAACAAACATCATGGTTAATTTTTTAATACCATGTTTAATACTATCTTATTATATGCACAATGACAACATAGCAAAGTCAGTTCATAAAAAAATTAATTAATAATAATTATTAAACAAGATAATTTTAAAAAAATAAAGGGTTAAGATGACACTTGCATGAAACAATGCTTACTTCAGTAATACTGTAGCAGCCTCTGGCACTCGATAGACCTATGATTTGAAACAGAAATAATTATCACATTACAAAGTTTCAAGTTAAAATCCATGACTCAAATAAGAAACAGTGTCACAGAATAAGTACTAAAATTTATAACAATAATAACTGCTGCAATCTGAGAACTTTAGATCAGTCTAATATCATGAAGAGTTTGCCATTAAAATTTCAAAATGTCACAACATTTTTTTTTGGTACTTTTATGTTGTCCACCCAGTGCTCCAGCAAAGTCACCAATTCTTTTCGTCAACCTAACACATGAAAAACAGTAGCCATTTTTTTTAAAGGTGCTGAATTGAAAATTACATAAAACAGCAACGAATTAACAAAATTAAAAATGGAAGAAACAGCCACAATAAAACACTAAAAATTACATAAACACAAATCCATAATCAAACACTCCAAAGCAGTAACAAATTAACTAAAATAAATACTCAACAAACATTAACAATAAAGCACTTAACTTTCTATTCTATTTTCTCGCTTTGACGTGCTCAGCAACATGTTTTAACTTAAAAAACAAAAATCAGAGAATTGCAGAATTCTCAGCACTGCACTCCAGTTACACATCAACCTGTTTGAACCTAAAAAACATCAGAGAACTACAGAATTCTCAGCATCACACAGCAAACTGGAACTGCCTCCATATACACATCAACCTGTTTTAATTTTTAAAAAAATATATATCAGAGAAGTGCTTTGATTCAGGGAAAAATTTGCTTGACATTCTTCTTTTCCTATACCAGATACACATAATTTTCAGAGATAACTACATTGATCAGTAATTGCATTTGGAAACATATCGAGAAAATTAGAAATGCAAGAATGACAAAACTTACCACATGTATATTCATTACTAGCAATAAACTAAGTGAAGAGCTGTCATAAATGATATTTGGCTAATTTCAGACTAATTTCCTACTCGCATTCGAACACTTTGCTGGCAATCTTTTGTTGACTTAATGTTTTGTGTTTTCACCCACCCCATTCACGCAAATTTGATCAGATACCAGTCAGTGGTGAACTAATGTGGTTGCCCCTGATTGGCTGATGATGCGGTATTGGCAGATTGGATAATAGCTCACATTAGGAGGATGTTTATACTAGAGAGTTAGTGAACTCTGAGACTCTTTTTTTTTTTTTTTTTTTTCCCCCTTCTTGCTTTGGTTTTATGCAAAGGCTAGTTGCCTAGTTGTTTTTAATTGTAAGTAAAATAAATGTTAGTTTTGTTTTGGATATGTTCTGGTGTTTTATTTTTCTTTTCAATAGCAAAGTATGCTTTCTAACAAATTGAAAAATCATGCATGCCCATAGGTTACGGGACCACAACTCAATGTTAAAAGAATGTATGTGATGATGTCGTGTCTATGACAAAGTGCAATTATATAGCTTCGAAGCTGTCAAAGACAGCTTTAGCAACCTCGGCAGCTCTATCAGTATAAAGTAGGTCCACTGGGTCCTCAATGCTGATGTTAAACAGTCTGGCCTGGATTGCTGGGCAGCTGAAAATGTGATGGCGAGACAGTGGGATGTCATCTGGGCAATGAGGACAAATGTTGGTGTAACTACGCTGCCCGTCTGCAGAAATCCTTATCCCTTTTAAGTGATTTGTCCTAAGTCTGGTTATGATAGTCAATATGGCTCTGTCACAGTTCAATTCCGAGATAGAGTTTCCTTTAACTTGACCAATTAATGGTCCGATGCTTGCTAGGTTTTCAAACTGACTCTCTTTCCAGAAGAATGCATGTAAAGAGGGAAAATTAGTTACAAAAAGCAACAATAAGATGGGTTTTAGAAGTTGGTTCAAGCTGATATGCTTATTTGTAATGCAAGATATCATTACTATTAGAGAGGTGTGAATTACCGTAATTGACGGCATATAAGACACACTTTTTTTTTCTAAATTTGGTCTAAAAAAAGTTACCTGCGTCTTATACGTGAAGGTAATATCATTCAATAATTGTTTATTTGGCTTTTACGAAACGTGAAAACTAAAAGAAACCACGCTATTGAAACTTTTTTTCCTTGTGTGTGGCCGTCTAAATAAGGGTGTGTCTTATATGCCAGTGCGTCTTATACTATGCCTCTATTAGGGAGGTATTAGAGAGGTTGAGCATTTTTTATGTTCAAACGGTAAACTGTGGATATACTTCAGTAACTAGGATAGATTATGTTATGCAAAATGGTATGACAGATTCTACAATATAAAACCTGTTGAATACCAAAAAGAAAGCTGGTTATAGTATGGAAACTACAAATTTATGGCATAGAAGATTTTGCCATGTAAATTTTGATTATACTCAGAACACAAATAAAAATCAAAGCATGAAAGGGTTACCCGAAATTAAAAAATGAATGGAAAAATGCAAAACATGTATTATTGCTAAATCCAGTAGAATATCTTTTAAATCCATGTTAATAAGATCCAATAAATTATTGCAGTTGGCTTATTTAGATGTTTGGAGCCTGCTCCCAGTTTCATCTACAGGTATGAGTAAATATTTCCTCACAATCATAGATGACTATAGTACATTAGTAACCTTGTATTGCATGGAAAAAAAAAGGAATAGTTCAGTAACTTTAAAGGTTCTTAGCTGTAAATGGAATCAGTGTTGAACGTACAAATGTGTACAGCCCAGAAGAGAATGGTGCATTGAACATTTTAACATAATGACATTAGAAGCAGTTAAAGCTATGCTTAATGATAGTAAAATGGGAAAAGAATGATGGGTAGATCTTGGATGTTTTGTACATACTTGGAATATGGTGTGTCATAAGAATAACCGAACCTCTTACAAAATGTTCTTCAACAGAAAACCCAGTGCTACTTATTTCAAAAGCATTTGGATGTAAAGCATATGTTGGCATATCAAAACAAACTAAATTACAAATTACTAATGTGATGCAAAGAAGGAATCATGGTAGGATATGACAAGGAAACTAGGGGTTATAGAATATGGCTACCAGAACGGAGCTTAATAGAAACCTGTAATGTGAAGGATGAAATAATGAATGCAGCATCCTCGGCAGAAACCAAAAAGTTAGCTCAAAGGACCACAAAAATCAAATATGTTATCAGAATCAGATGGAGAACAAGAAATTCCAAGAGAATGAAGTCGTTAGGTAAGTCTCTTATTATATGCAGATGATATTGTAATTTTTAGTAAATATCAACATCATCTTAACAAAGTAATCCCACAGTTGAGTAAGTTTTTTTATCTTAAAGTATTAGGCGGAACTAGAAAGTTATTCAGAGTTGAATTCTTAGAAAACAGAAGTAAGACTTCAGGTACTACTCTTATATGCGCCCTCAAGTCGCCAAATGCATCGATATGTGTTTGCACTGGTTTTTGGCGCAATTGTGTGTTCTGCGATGGTTTTGGGGATGATGTTGGTTTCCAAGGCAACACTTTTTACATGGAAACTTGGATTTTACTGTAGTGGTTTTAGTTGCTAGTTGGTTCATGAGGTGTGTGGTTTTAAATGATTTATGATGCAATGAAAAACGTGTTGGCAAAATTTTAGTTGCGTGCCTGGTACAACTATTTTTTTCGACTGGCTTGAAATTCTACACGTATTTAGGAGAAGAAGATTTTGAACATTTATTTGTGAAATATAGTATCATTTTTGTGAATAGTGAGTCTGGCTGTCATATAAATACGATAGAGATTACGTGGCAACATGTTAAAGCTATGTTGCCTACTTATAATTGAAAATGCGATTTTGAATTCTATTTGGTGGTTTATATATTTTTCCATTGTTGTTCTGAAACAGGAGAAGATGCTTTTAACAAATTTGTGGTGAAATTGTTTAGGTGATGTTTAAAATTGGTATTACTGCTGTTCAAAGAAGCACTCATTCATGCTAAGTGCATTTTATTTTAATCTTGTTCTTATTTAGTAGAATGTTATGTTCATTGTTTTTTTAGTATGAATTTCTGTCATTATTGTTGTTTTTTTGATTGTTTGAAATTTATTTTAGTTTATTTTGTTGATTAGTGATCAATGCCTAGATCATGCAATTCGTAGATGATTTTTAAAGTTTAAACAGAATGCTGTGTATATGGTATTCTTGAAATTTATTGTTGTTATGTTAATTTATTAAAGCAAGGTGTGCATAGCTTGTAGATTCCTTCGCTGCCTAGATTGTGCAATTCGTATATGTTTTTTTCAAGTTTAAACAGAATGCTCTGTACATGGTATTCTTTGAAATTTATTGTTGTTACGTTAATTTATTTAAGCTGGGTGTGCATACTTCATAGATCCTCTGCTGCATAGATTGTGCAATTCTGTGATCTTTTTTAAAATTAAAACATATTGCTGTGTACATGGATTCTTGTCAAATATTTTTGGTTAGAAACTTTACGTTTTTGCTATTTAATTTTTTGTTTTTGTTTTGGATTTTCAACTTAAATTGTGTGTTCAAAACGTAGTTTTTGGACATGCAAAAATGCATTTTAGGCTTAAAGTTCGAAATGTAGACAAAAAATGTAGGTAGTAATATGGCAGCACGGAGTTTCTCGCCAAAAATGTTTGGCAAGAAATTTGTTGCTAACCAAGGACGTATATGAGAGTAGTTCCAAACTTTTATACACCAACAAATATACGTAGAACACTTTCAGATACCAATAACTTAACTTCTGATAACTAAAGGCCCTATTCTTACAAAATTAGATTTCCCATCTACAAGTGCAGAAATTAATGAAATGCATAAATTGCCTTTTAAAAATCTATTGGGATGTTTAGTTTTTGAAGCTAACATGACTAGGCCTGATACTGCATATGTGGTATATATCTCATCACAGTTTCAGAAGAATCCTGGAATTAAACATTGGTAAGCTTTGTTAAAATTACTTGGTTATATCAATGATACTAAATCATATAAGTTAAACTTATCAAGGATTACACATCTAAATGAATGCTGTTATTCAGATGCTGATTATGCAAGAAATAGAGATGACTGTGTGTCCATTAGTGGATTCATGTTACATTTTAAA